TTTCATGTAAATATATTTTATAGTTACCACTGTTAAATTTTCTACTGAAAACTTAGTTGTTTACCAGACAGCCATCCTTGGATTAGAAAATAATAATTGCCATTCCTCCTCTTCAGAGACCACCAGTCCTGTACACACATTTATAAACACAGACTAGGAGGTTCTAGGCCCAGCAGTGCTTTTCCGTGCCTGTGAGGTGTTTTGTGAACACCCATTAGCACCCAGAAAAGCACTGCTTGAAGCTCAGACCTAAGACATAGGCTGGAAACCCAACTCTGCCCCTAGACAGCAGCATGGCAACCCCGAGTCTGCTGTGGCTGCCAAATGGACATCATAGAACATACATAAGAGGGTTCATGATAAATGTCTAGTGGGGACTAGCATATAATAGCCTGAATTAGAAACCCAGAACTGTTATGACTGTCCCACAGCTGAATGCTTTGGGGTCCCTAGTGAAAAACAAGAATGACAACACACAATTCATTCTCATTTAGCTAAAGGTGGACTTACTGCAGTGCAGTTGTTCATCGCTGCCGTGTTACCAAGCCTGACTTTCTAACAGGGCTTGAGTAAGGGCTCTCTTTGGAGGTCCATGTCCACTGGGGCCTTCAAGGCTCACTCCCAAGCAGGAAGGGTTTCTCTCTGTGGTTATCATTTAATCTCCAAATTGAAGAAATGATGCTCAAAATCCCTACATATTTTAACTTCTAACATACCTTGTAAAGTAGTTACACCATTTAAGGAGAAAAGAGATATTTCTATACAGTGTATGTTGATGCTTGAGAAAATCTAATCACAGCTATTGTTATGGGAGAACGATATGTTCTCGGGGAGAAAAGTCAGATGAGTATTTTATGATTTATCCCACCAAACCCTTCAGGTGCAGATCAGGACACAGCGTTCAGCGATAGGAACAGTTCTTCTGCCCTGGACACAGCATTGCTTTGCATGCATCACAAGCACCGATAACAGCAAGCAAAATTGTTTCTTTCCTTAACATGTCAAATTATTCTGACATCACTTTTACCTACCAGACATTTCTTTGTTGCTCATTGCAAAAAAATATTCTGTTAAACACAGAAACCGAAACAAATGAACAACTTGTATGTGTGCTTCCTGGCAGCTGGAAGAGCTTTTGGAACAAAGGTAGAGAAGTAGTTGTTGCATTAATTTTGGCCTAAGCAACTGGGAATCCATCCCAGGTCTATTTTTACGTTACTATCTTCAAATAAGGAATAAATTGGGAAGCACAAAAAGTTTACTAAAGTGAGAGTAAAGTAGGTTCAGAGAGTTCTAAAATATTGCTGGCCTCAGGCATCATTATGAGGTCCTTTGTATCAGGCACGTCTCTAGACAAGTTTTTCTACCTATTGTTTTTGTAAACATGATTACTATTTTGTTGTCTTTGTCTTCCCCTCATACCAGTCAATCTTTACAATGCCACCCTGAATGCCCACTGGCATTCTACCTTCTTTAAAACCGAGCTCAAACGATACCTCCCCAACGGAGCCCCCACTCACACCTTATGCCACAGTCTCCCTCTCAGAGTTGCCCCACGGAAGACAGGCATTTACAAGACACTACTACTTGGTGACAAGTATTCCAGGAAACAGATCCCATGACAGCCAGTACTATCTGCTCCAGGATCAGCTTCCAGAAGCAATGGGCAGCTACAATACCCAAACATGACTCAGAACAGAGCCAGGCTAGGTTTGCCAGGTCACAGCCTGGGAAACATGTCACCACACACACTATGTACAGAACACACTTTGAAGTAACTGATGGCAATTCCTAGGTGCCTTTACAAAACTAAACAAAACAAACAACAAAACAATAAAAAGGGGAATCACTGTCCTAAATTCAAGCTAAGGTTTCCTCTTATTTCTAGGAACAAATTAGGAATCTAGGATGTACATGAGTTGTAAAGAGGCTTGTAGTGATATATTATTCATGATTTATTATTAATATAATATTAATATAATGTAATATTAATATAATAATAATTATTATTATTAAAGAGGCTTGTCTAAAGATTCAGAAAGCAAAGTCGGCCACAAGCCACAGAAGCTGGGCACACACCTTTAATCCTAGCAACGAGAAGCTAGGAGATGGTGGTACACACCTTTAACTTTAGGACTCAAGATTAAGAGATAGATAGATCTCCGTGAGTTCAAGGCCACCCAGGGACACATGAGATTGAGTCAGTCTAAAAGAGTAAAGATCACATGCCTTTAATTCCAGCACTATGGGTTATAAAAGATAGAAGCAGGGACTTCAGTATTCGGTCTGAGGCATTCATTCTCCAGCCACGTTGATTGAGGATCCTCCAGCCACACTGAGGAGGATAGGCAGCAGGATCAGCCCATTCAGCCTAAGATAGTAGTAAGAGCTAGTGGCCCACTACTTTGCTTTTCTGACTTTCAGCTTGAAGTTTGAACCCCAATATCAGTCTCTGAGTCTTTTTTACTTTTCGAGATACAGAGACTTGAGCAAATTAGTCAATGGCTTTCTCAGGAAAGATTAGAACTTTTACAGGAAAAGGCAACACTGATTATTTTAATGCTGAATTGAAAACTATTCAAGTGGCTTTGTAACCATAATAAAATGGTAAGCCAATCATACAGAACTATTTCAATTACCCCCAGTGAGATGAATTTCAAGGAATTAAAAATTCACAGATAATGTAATCACCCAACACTCGAGTTTCTGATGATAAACTCAAAATACTGCAGACAGAACTTGCTTAAGTTGCAGCTCAGGGCCACTGAGAGGGTCAAGAAACAGTGGCAACTCCAATCAGCCATGACCACACGTTTCCATGTGGAACAGGTGGGCTTACACAAAGAGCAGACCGAGTCATAACCACACTGAGGTCCAATGCTGAAAAAAGGGAAGGTAGGCTTTTCCCCAGCAGCAGCCATCGCTTGGTTAGATTGGAACCTTCTCTCCTTCAAATGTTCCAACAGCAAAGGCTGGGCAGTGTCTTTGTATTCACTTGTATTTTGGCGGTGGCGGCGGCCATTATCTTGGTGTGCAGTATGATTAACTGTCTCACCATCTTTCAACATAGCCTATTAGACAATATCAGCAAACCTCCTGAGTGGTATCTGAGGCTAACCCATCTCAAATAGTACTTTCAAAGCGGGCATCAGGACAAGATGACGAATATGAACACAACTTAAAAGAGAACTGTCTCTTGGGAACAAAGTACTTCTTTGAGAATTTTTACGTGAGGATAACTTTTTAGGAACCACAAATACTCGTTCACAGCCATTCATGGTTTTATCCAACAGCTGTTATCCGTGCCTGTTCAAAGCAAACCGCTGCTATCAACTTATCATGCAGTTGGAGGCACCCAGGCTAGAGCCCTTTCTTCTCCAGCAGGGCAGACTGACAATAAACACAAACGTTCAAAAATTCCAAAATCGTAAGCGGTATAATCATAAGTGGTATAACAAGCTGGACCGCGGCCAGAGGGTGATTTGGGGTACATAAGCCCCATCCCCTGAACTGGAGGGGAATCATAAGCGGTATAATCATAAGTGGTATAACAAGCTGGACCACGGCCAGAGGGTGATTTGGGGTACATAAGCCCCATCCCCTGAACTGGAGGTGACAAAGTAAAAGCTCAGGCATAAAACAGGTACAGTGATACATGCAGTGCACACTGAGCTTTGTCAGTCCGTGCAGGTGGAACAGTGGGAATGACAATGTAAAGTAGCAAAGAAGACAAGCAAGCTGGAGCCCGACTACAAAGTTAGGTTTCCTCACAGGGACAGAAAGCCACTGGGAGGGTTTAGGCAAGATAAAAATATGCTTTTACAAGATAATTCTGGCTTGGTACCAATAAAGGACTCTGCCACACAGACACTAGGCAAGGATAACGTAGTGATGGGAAGTTGGAGTTGTGAACCACAGTTTATCTGCTGGAACCAGAAATTAAATAATGGGGTAGGCCACAGAGCACTTCCACCCTGCTGCAGACTAGACTCAGAAAAGGCATGCCACCCAAACTGAAAAACAGTAGTTCTGAAACCACTCTCGACTTACAGGAATCCTAAAAGAAGCACGTTTTTCTCGATCAGTTTTCACCGTACCACTCACAAGTTAAAATCACAATAACAGTCTCAACCAGGGTCCCCTGAGAAACGTTTTAAGTACAGTGATGTTTCTGCAATTGTCAGTTTCCTTGGAGAACGAAAAGCACCGAAAGCCAACTCCTGAGTGACCTGCGGCTAATGAGACATTTGATCAGTGGAGACTTTCAAGTCCCTAAGACACTGATCTGTAAGCCAATCTTCAATAAACTTGCTATCAATCTAGTCAATACAGTTTCCTTTTAAGAATCTCCTGGGTTAGGGGGATGGGACTGGAGTGACAGCACAGTGGTTAAGAGCACCAACTGCTCTAACAGAGGACCCAGGTTCAATTCCCAGCACCCACATGGCAGCTAATAGCTGTCTATAACTTCAAGATCTGAGACTCTCACACAGACATACATGCAAGCAATACACCAATGCACATTAAATGAAGGTAACTAAATTAAAAAAAAAAAAAGAATCTCCTGGGGGGGTGCGGCAGAGACCAGAGAGATTGCTCAGTGGTTAAGCACACTGTCTGCTCTTCCAAAGGACCTGGGTTCAATTCCCATTACCCACATGACAGCTCACAACTGGATGGATCTCCAGCTCTAAGGATCCAATGTCCTTTTCTGGCCTGCATGAGCACTGCACACATGTGATGCACACCCACACACATAAAAATAATAAAATCTAAAATATGTTTTTAGAAAACCATCTCCTTGGTTTGCTCACTGGAATTACTACAGATACTTCATGGTAACAACATTCTATACTGCTTTTAAGAGTCTATAATTTTATTTTTTTAACTAAATTGCAGGTCATTTTTTTGTCTGAACTAAGAAGATTTTACATTATTTTTGGTGATCTTATAAATGAGGCAAAACATCTTAGCACACAATACATAACCTGCATCCATACCTCCACTTTGATTCTCTTTGGAGACAACTCATCTCTTTCGCCACATTTTAACCTAAAGGGAAGGGAGAAAGAACAAGCTTGAGAAGATAACAAATTTTATTACAGAGTGATCTCAGTCTGAAATGTTCCCTTGGAATATTTAATTCTGAAACCATAGCAGGAAAAATGACATACAGTAACCATTTACATAATGGAAGGGACTGTCTCATCATTCCCAAGTTAATATTAGGGGATATGTAGACAATATTACATACTTTAAAAAGCCTCTAACTCAAAGGACTCTACCAGAGAAAGCAGTATTCATGACAATATAACAAAAAAAGAAAAGAAAGAAGAAAGGATCAGGGAATGTGTCTCTTTAAGAGTTCAGCAGGGACCATGTCAGATAAAATGATTAAAATTGTCATTTGATATGAATGCATAAGGCAGTGTGAAATAAGATGTGTTGTGCCTATCTCCCAACAATTCAGACAGTCTGACCTGGCTATGCCAGAGTCACACTATACACCTATGACATGGCACCTGTCAGTACTAGGGCATCCACTCTTTAAGTCACCACCTTAATATATTTTTGTCAAATATGAGAACTAAATTATGAGAAGTCAAATCTAACTTACATGTCACTGTAAAAAGATACTAAAATGTAAAAAGTGTATCTTGGAATAGGCAAAACACAATTTTACTTATTGTGGCATTATTTCCAATAACAAAAGACTACAACCAAAAATCTACCCAAAAAGGGACTGTGCCAGTGAGATCTTGTCTTCTTAGACAGCAAAAGAACCAGCTTCCTCACAGCTATCACCAATTCCACCTGTTAGTGAGTGTGTACGTGTGTCTGGAAGGCTGTAGAGACCTCAGGGTCACACTCAAAGCCAAGGTCTGTGTGACAGAATGTCTATACCATGGCCAGAGCACTAGAGCCCTAGAGACTGTATCTTTCAAAAGTGAGGATATAGAGGAGGATTACAGAAAAAAACAAAAAACTGCTGTTAGGGTCAGAAGTCCCAGTAGCCACCACATAGTAGACTGCTGTGGATAGATTATGTACATTTATTTCAAATCTCAGAGAAAGGCTTTGGGATGTCTTCACTAAGAACACATGACAAATGCTTGAACAAGCAGGTTTAACAACCGATTTCAACATCATACAATGCATACATGTATTCAAATACCAAATGGTACCTATTTTTTATGTTTTTCAAGATCCAATTAAAATAATTTAATTTAAAAAATCCCTTTGGGCAATGTTTTGAAAAGTCACTGCACTGTTTAATTCTGTATTAATCATGTTACCTTTTCTGAGACACTCAGTCTATACATGAACGATGTTTCAAACTCTGCCCCTACCCAACGTGCAAATGTACTGCTCCGGACTCACCTGGTGGTCCTGTAAGTGTACTTGTAGGTAACTTCTCGAGAAACCTGCCTGGCCAGGGCAAAAAGTTCATCTCTTCTCGTCAGCAGGGCATTGTCCTTCACACAGAGCTGAGCGGCTGCTTCATTGACAGTGAGCTAAGCATCCAAAAAAAAGAGATTCACAAAAATAAGCATTTCTATTTCATTTGATAATGGAATGTTTCACTTACTGTGAAAAAGTCCCATCATTATAGGAAGAAATAATTCATAAAATCACCCGTTACCCCTCGTGTCAGGCTGCAGGACAGGTAGCCGACTTACCGTCTTCTGAAGCCCAAACAGTTAGAAATAATTGCCTTGCTTTTACCTACTTGTATTTATTTATTCTGCATTTTTGACTAGGTAGGGGGAGTTATGAATGATAAAGAAATATTCTATATCTCATTTCTGCTATGGAAAAAAAAACCCAAAAGCTAGTTTTTTGAAATGCTGACAATCTTGTTAGTTAAACACGATTATACACAGTCAGCATGTCTTACCTGAACTGACATGCAAATTCCTAATGCAACCCTGATCAGACTACTTAAACAGCAAAGTAATGACAAGTTAACAGTGGCACTGGAAAGGTGACATTCCAAGACTAAAATTTTATATTTACTCGATTCAATAACTCTTAAAAGACTGCCAACATTATTGCTGGCTGATGAGACACACCTGTACTAGAACTTAACACAGCAAATCTCACAGGAACTCATTAACAAGTCAGCAGTTCCCCACAGTTCTGAGAAGCAGATGCAGGGAACTACTGGTGGGTAAACCAGACTTCTTTTAAAAAGCAAGAAATGTCCTGCATCACGGTGTGCACAGTGTGGGCAGTGACAGGAAGCAGGCTTGGTATTGACAGATGGGGGTTAATTCTGTTCCGCCACTCAGTCACGGATGTGTGAGTCTGGAAGAACAAAGGGCTCGGTCTCCTCGCCTTTGTATGTGCAGCAGGAAGACAGCACCCCCTCAAAAGCTCTCATAGGAGAAAAGTGAGGAGCCATACCTGGTGGAAAGCCACTATTGGTGTTATTGGTGTTTAGTTCTTGTTTTGCTTTAATTAGAAAGTTCAGACATTGACCGTTTCCCTCTACCCAGGCATCTCACCTTTAAGGCTAGTAGCTTCTTTTATTTCTGTACACTAAAGCCTTTCAAGTCCCTTTTAATTTACATAATAATGTACCTTTTATTTTTTATCATGGTTTATAACAGAGACTTGGCACAATTACATCAGCACCTGATATGGGCTCAATGCACAGTAAGTATCATTGATCAGTGAATTTTAAAATCCTTTCTAATGTCACTTTTGCTATACATATGAAATGCCATTCCAGAAAAGAGCAATACATTATTTAACCCAACCTTACCTGGATAACCCCAGTCCTTCAAGTGTTATAAGTGGCAAAGCACATTCACAAATGGGCATCTTTCTTTGCATGCATTCTAATTATTTATTTGGCATAAGCTCTAACAAATGGACTTGTTAGATCACAGAACACACTAAAGTTTAATAAGATTCCTTTAAGGTTAATTTTTACTTATATGTGTCTGTCTTGAGGGCATGTCACATGTGTGCAGAGGCCTGAAGAGGTCAGAAGAGGGTGTAAGGTCCCCTGAAGCTGTACTCACAGGCAACTGAGAGCTGCCTGACATGGGTGCTGGGAAGTGAACTCAGGTTCTCTAAGAGTAGCAAGCTATTCTCAGACACTGAGCCATACCATCAGTTTCGAGACAGAGTTTGGAGACAGGGTATCTCTGTGTAGCTTTGGAACCTATCCTAGCACTCGCTCTGGAGACCAGGCTGTCCTCGAACTTGCAGACATCCGCCTGTCTCTGCCTCCCAAGAGCTGGGATTAAAGGCGTGAACCACCAAACCCAGCCCTATTAACTTTTTATGCCCTACCATAATTTCTGTTTCGAGAAACTTCTCTAAATAATACCATGGGCACTCACAGGGAGACTGTTACTAGAACCCTGCCTCATGTTGCTTCCCGTATTTTAAAAACTTTGCCTACTTCATATATGGTATTGATTAACTAGAAATCAACCTTTTCACATGTCCAAGTTATTTCTAAAATCTACTGCTAGCAGCTTGCCGTTTCTTTTCTCGTGGTGTTTCCTTTTTGTATGGACTTTAGAGATTACAAGGTAAGCATTCACTTTGTATCCTATGTGGTACCAGTCTCTTTTCTTACATTTTTCATTAGCCTTATAGGTTCTCCTTTGGATGCTGTCTTAGTCACTTTTGTGTTGCTGTGAAGAGACACCATGCCCAAGGCAACTCTTATAAAACAAAGTATTTAACTGCTTATGGTTTCAGAGGATGTCTTAGTCAGGGTTGTTACTGCTGTGATGAAACACCATGACCAAAGCAACTTAGGATGGAAAGGCTTTATTTCACTTACATCTCCAGGTAACAGTTCATCATTGATGGAAGTTAGGACAGGAACTCACACAGAGTAGGAACCCCAGGGCAGGACCTGATGCAGAGACCATGGAGGGGTGCTGCTTACTGGCTTGCTCAGCTTGCTTTATTACAGAACCCAGGACTACCAGCCCAGGGGTAGTTCTATCCCACAATGGGCTGGGCCCTCCCCCATCAATCAGTAATGAAAAAAAGGCTCTATAATCTTGCCTACAGCCCAATTTTATGGAGGCAGTCTCTCAATTGGGATTCCCTCCTCTCAAACGACTCTAGCCTGTGTCAAGTTGACATATAGCCAGCACAGAGATTTAGCCCATTATCATGGTACTGGAGCAGTAGCTGAGAGCTATATCCTGATCGAAGGGCAGGGTTGGGGGCAGCGAGCAAGCACCTGGGCCTGGAGCCTGGCATGGGCTTTTGAAACCGGAAAGCTCACCCCAGTGACACACTTCCTCCATCAAAGCCATACCAGTATGAGCCTATGGGAGCCACTCTTATTCAAAGCCATGCATGGACCTCTTCCTTCTCTAGAAACAGGTAAAGGTTCCTTTTTTAAGCCTACCTTACCTTTCTACCCAGGTGTCATGGTATGTAGCATGACACAAGTGTCTGACATCATGTGTTGTGGAGTGTGGTATTGCCATAAGTGCCTGACGTCACACTTAATTATATGTAGCATGACACAAGTACCTGACATCATGTGTTATGGTATGAAGTATGACACAAGTGTCTGACATCATGTGTTATGGTATGTAGTATGACATAAATGTCTAACATTTATGTGTTTCGTTATGTTTACCACCATCCTCCCTGAATTTCCAACTGCACTGGAACACATGTCCTGAGGGCTGGTTTTACTACTGACAGCAAGGCTGCAAGCCTGGACTCCCATGGTAAGCTCTCAGCTGAGCTAAACACCCAGCAGGAAGATGAAGGGCTTACTCCTTTCCCCTATAGCATCAGCAAGGACCAGCTGCGTTCTCAAGGGTTTTCTTTTTCCTTGTCATTGCTTGTCTTGCTTTTGAGGCAGGGTTTTATGTAGTCCATGCTGGCCTCAAACTCTCTATGTAGCAGAGGATGGCCCTGAACTCCTGATCCTCCTCCACTTCCCAGCACTGGATTACAGGCATATGCCACAATGCCTGGTCTCTGCTTTTGGAGGGACACCATGTGACTGAGATTAAAGGGGAAACACTTCACAGACTGATGCCTCTTGAACTGCAGGCTCGGCATGCTTGCCGCTACAGTGACCAAGAGGATTCTTCTCCAATTGCTTTCTAAGTAGCCATTTTTATACTCGCAAATGTAAATTACTATGGGAAGCCTTAGATTACCAGTGAGATTCCTGAATTACCCACACTTCAGAACTACCAGTTTAGGTACAAACCACAGAAAATAATTTTTCAACATAAACTGAAAAAAACTTATAAGTCTTTTGAAAACTTACTGGCAAGCAACAAAAACAACCTAACACATTCACTGTCATGGAATTTCAACTCCCATCGACTGGAAAAGTAGGAGGAACTTTCCCTGCTTTAAAGGACCCTCCTGTCAGAAAACTAAAACTGGAGTGAGATCCCTGGCTCACTCCCAAGTGTAGTAAGACACTAAATTTCGAGTCCCTCCCTTCAACTCATCTGTCAGTTATAACACGATTAAATAAATGACCCAAAGACTGATACTGGGGTTCCAACTTCAAGCTGAGTAACAGAAAAGCAAAGCAGCTGGCCACTAGCTTCTTACATCTACCTCAGGCTGAAAGGGCTGATCTTGTCTTCAAGAGCTCTCACCAAGCCTCAGACATGGCTAGAGAATGAATACCTCTATCTTCAGTGTGGCTAGAGAATGAATGCCTTCTACTGAATACTGAAGACCCTGCTTCTATCTTTTACACCCCAATCCTGGGATTAAAGGCGTGTGAGCTGTTACTCTTTTAGACTGATTCAGTCTTGTGTATCCTGGGTGGCCTTGAATTCAGAGAGATCCATCTACCTCTTAATCCTGAGTGCTAGGATTAAGTCCCCCTAGCTTCTGGCAGCTGGGATTAAAGTTGTGTACCTGGCTTCTATGGCTCGTGGCTGACTTGCTTTCTGAATCCTCAGGCAAGCTTTCATAAATCATGTATCACCAGAGTCAGTGACATATTTCATGGCCTTACTTGACAATAATTAGCAAATCAGTAACTAATATACTTTTAAAGAAAGATGCAGTTGCTATCTCTGACACCGCTAGCTTTTGCTACTACTGCAATTTTGTCAAAGTAAAGAGTAATTTCTCCTAATTCCTATCTTCATAACCCCAAATAGTAAGTTTCCATTTTTATCACCATGTGAAAGATTCGCTCTCATTTATGGCAGAACTTAAAACTTAACTCCGTTATCTTCGTCTTCAGAAAAAGGTGGCGAACTGATTCTGTGAAAGTTTCTTTTACTGTAGTTCATCTTTAGTGACCAAATTACTATAACTGTCAATGAAGTATAATTGACATAAAAACACTCTGCAAATGCTGGATGACAGAGAAGCTCAAAAGGCAACTGAACTTTGTCTTTTGACATTAAAGAGGACAAAGACCATGATTACCCTTCCCCCCAAACAAAACAAATTGTGGTGGTTAATTTCAATAGTCAACATGATGAGACCTGGGAAATGGGCCTCTGAGTGTGTCCACCACTGGACGAGTTGGGGTAGG